CTTTGTGTTGCTATTTCCACGTTGGTGTAGCTGAATTTCTGTTTATTTTCTGCTGCATCAGCGCAGCTCATTCATCTGCTGGCTGCGGTGTATGTTGAGCTTCATGCTGCTGAGTACGGGGTGTGTTGCATACATGATCGAGACCCAATATCGGTAGAAAAGAAAAGGAGAAACGCAGCAGCAGCAGGGGGGGGGCTGCAGCAGAAGCTGCATGCAGTTCAAACAAAGATTCTCACCGTAGTGGTGCTGAATCGTTCGTGCGCTGATATACGGCTCGAGAGCATCGGCTTTGTAGGGCAGAGGTGGCAACGTGAATTTCGCTCCGAGGCGGATTGCGGCACGGAATAGCGCCTGAAACAGGTGGAAACATGCATCAAATTCCGGAAACTTTTGGATATATCGAAAGTAAATGATAAATAATATATAATTCCAAAAAATAAACAAAAAATTCAAATATTTAAATCATGAATTGCAGTATGCAGAACCACCGTGCCAGTTCACTGCGCTGGGGTGTATACGCAGGTCTTGTTAGTACCGCAATGAGCGTTCCGTGTGAATATCCTTCAATCTTCTGTATTAAATGCGATAAATTACGATATTTTAATTTATTCTATTCATTTATTCTTTAAAAACCCTGAATTTTTTGTGAAAACTCCAAACAAACAGAGAGAAAGAGCGCGCAGCAGCAGCGGCGTTTACACACCATCTTCGTCTTCGTTTTCTTGCGAGGAGAAACGGCAGAATAAAAATATACCTAAATACAAAATGAATATTTTTCAAAGAAAATACCTTTTATATTTATAACTCTAAACACTGAACTGTATGTACACTCCAATGCTGCAGCTGCTGGGGCTTGCTGGGGGCATAGCAACCGTCGGCTCTAGCTTGCTTGTCTGTCTATCTTCTTTCAAATATTTAAAAATGTTTTTCTTTTTTAATATTATTAAATTTTAATTTTAACATATTTACACAACACAAACGCTGCCTATACACCCCACGGCCCCGCAAACGCTGCCCGCATATACAGCCTCTCACGGATAACACTAAACCCTAAACCCTAAACCCTAAACCCTAAACCCTAAACCAACACCAACGCAAGCTATAGTCTGTGAAACTGAAATAAGATTCCTCCATGCTCTTTAAGGACATTCGCGAGCTGCGTATATATATATATATATATATGTATGTATATATATATA